TTTTTTTTTTTTTTTAAATGGCGTTGAAATTTTTGTTCAAAAGCCTGGTTATAGTGTTTTAGCAATCGAGAAAACTGTAAGATAAACTGTGATTTATGTGTAAATATATATAGATCTTGCATTCTGCTTGAGAAGCAGCTTCTGTGTTGCCTTCACAGTCAACCGACAAATGAAGAAAATGTTTAGAATTCTAATTTATGATAAATGATTTGCATTCTGGATGGAACCAATCTGTGCTCTGGCTCTGGATCACAGTCCAGTAAATGCTGACCTATGGTATGAGTGTGTGTGTGTGTGTGTGTGTGTGTGTGTGTGTGTGTGTGTGTGTGTGTGTGTGTGTGTGAGCGTGCAGGACTGCAGTGTACCTGTAGATGGCGCTGTGTTCCTGAGCGTAGGAGGCCCGGAGCAGCAGACGCTCAATGTTGTTGAGGACGCTGTGGAAGTCTCTCTTACTGACGGGCAGTCTTGAGGCGTGATGCAGAAAGCTTTCAGGCAGGAGATCTATCCTGCGCTCAGCTGTGGAGAACGGATACACCGCGACCCCAGAGCTGTTGTCAATCATCCTCAGCCCGCTGCCCTGAAGAAAGAGGAACACATCAAGCCTTCCTCCTGTCCGTTATCACATCAGGTGCAAAACTGCTGTCGTTTAGTAAATTACACACTGGCTAAAGAACAAAGAAACAGTAGCATTTATGTGTGCATGTTCACATGGCTATCCACTTAGCTTAACAATTTGTCCCTATAACTGAGTTAATAACAAAACCATGTAGTCTATAATAATTAATCAGCTTAATAATCAGCTTTATATACAAGAAGTCTTTGTATGTTCTCAAATTAAGTAACTGTGTATGTGTGTGGGTTTACTTAGTCAAGTCTGACTCCACATATGAGCTTATATGACAAAACCTCACATGCAGGGACATCTCCATTTGGACACACACACACACAAAATAATGTTTTTTAAATTCTAAAAAAATATATTATTTATTTATTTTTAATGCCATTAGGGTTACTCAATATAAACAGTCACAAAAAAACAGTAGAAGTGGTACATGTATGTCTTCATTTAGGTAGCTCAGTACAGTGTGTGTGTGTGTGTGTGTGTGTGTGTGTGTGTAGAATAGGGTGATTTATGAAGAGACATGTGATGAATGTATAAAGGATGAGAGAGATTGTTTTGATGGAAGGAGGAATATTTTCAGGAAATTATGTCTAATAAATTGTGAAGAATTGTGCAAGTGTGTGTGTGTGTGTGTGTGTGTGTGTGTGTGTTATGTGTGTGCATGCATTGATGCAATAGCTTCGTATCACACTAACAGCTTTCAGATCTACAAGGAATGGAAGATTAACACAATGTCAGCATAGGAACTTAAAGTCTCTCTCTCATGCACACACACACACACACACACACACACACACACACACACACACACACACACAGGTTTATTGCATGCAGTAAAATAACAAGACAGGATTTCCCAGAGGAAAATTGGTCACTCTTTCAGTGCTCAGGAGACCTAATGGAGTTTTTTAGACTTTAACACAATAAAAATAGACACAAGTGAGACAATTGCTGAAATACTCTACAGCACACATACAAAAAATATGGATACATTTGATTTATTTATTTATTTTCCCCTGCTGGTCACCATATGATCTGACTAAAATGGTCAGAAAGTGTATTTATATTTAATTACATTTGTAATATTCATTATTTATATATAATTTATATGTATAATTAGGCTACTATTTATAATTATAATTAATATTTGAACCAGTTTTATTTAGGTGCCATTAATATACTCTTGCGTTTTTTGTTAATATTTTGAATTCGATTTTATTTCTATATTCTCTGTTTTCACTTTAATTTGAGCAATTCTGTGTTTTGTCATTTCTATTAGCTTTTTAAATGTCTATATAGTTTTTATGAAATTGTATTTATTAGTTTTAGTTTATTTAGTTTTAGTAGCACTATAAGTTAAACTAAATGAAAATGAGAAATGTTGCCTTGGCAACTAGCTGAAATAAAATATGTTTATTTTATTTTGTTTTATTTCCGGTAATATTTTTTTATTTCAAATAAATATTTTTTTATGGTTTTAGTTTTAGTTAACTATAATAATCCTGTCATAATTATTCCAGTCAGGTGTTTGAAGGTTGCTTGAAGCTGTACTCTGCAGGACCGGAGCTCAGTAACCCCGATTTAGATGTGGCTGAGACCGAGAAAGCGTTCAGCCAAAAAAATTATTTAATGCAACGCAACATGAATAAACCAAATATTAGGAGAGTGCTTTTCTACCAGACTAAATAAAGGAGAATATGCGTGTGTCAGCAGACACAAATTACACAAACAGGTATGCGAATGCAGACTCAAGCATGCTTTTACACACATGCAGACGTAAACGCTCCTGCGAGCTTGTGAAAAGGCTCACGCAAACATAAACACAGCTGCGCGACACCACAAACACATGCATTCACACTCACAAACAAACATGCTCGCAGACATAAACAGCTGCACTTCTGGATGAAACCGAGACGGCCACGCTGTGCTCTGAGACGCACACACACGGCGGGACCGATGAGGCGAGGTGTCAGTGTAACGGGAATGGGCTCAAATAATGTGATCTCTGGGTAAAGGTGAGGTCGTTTAGCCTCGAACACACGGGTGCAGTACAAACCGAGCGACTCAGACTCTCTCATGTGCTGCATTTCAAAGCATCCGAAGCCTAAATCGAATATTGCAAAGCCTTCTTTTATGCTAGGACATATTCTTCACAAAATGCATTTATTTGATGCTGTTGGCATATTAATTCCCCACATTTTAGTATTTTTGTTTTGCTGTTTTTTTGCAGAAATGACGTCCAGTATGGTTTTGGCCCTTTCCTCTGCGCATTTCTACTCAAGATTACAGTACATCGATTGAATGTTTATGCAAACAGCATATGTAAGTTTTTAATGTTGTGTACATTTTTTAACAAAAGAGTTCAATTAAAAATATAGCTGCAAGCAGCAATTATGTGGCCAAGCAGCTGCAGGTATACGGTAAGTTAACCATGATCCAAAGAACACAAGGACAGCAAAACATTTTTGAGGTTATCAGCAGTTTTAACCCTAATTTACATCTCTGTCCCACAAAGTTTACAGGGACCCTCGGGACAATCCTAAAGTCACCTATTAATGTTCACTTCAATAAGTAAATCCTTGGATCAGGTCTCACAATGGCTTACTAAAATCATGTTTGCATCTGAATGCCAAGAAATCTCTGAGCATGTTTTTTACAGAAAGGGTAAAGTTTGATGTTAAAGCAGAACAGAAATGAATTTAAATATTTTTCTGAATAATAATTGATTCTCAGCTTTCTTTTAAAGGTGAAAAAGTGGTTAATACAGTGAAATTTAATTTAGCCAATTTTAGGTTCATTAGAAACAGCTTAACTTAAGAGGCTGAAATGTTATTCATGAAAGCTATGATTCTACCGCATATTATGGGACTACTTGGACACAAGCATGCAAGTCTGATCTTAAGCCTGTTGAAACTGTGTATAAGCAAGCTCTTATGAATCAGATAAAAAGCCAAAGATTTTCCATTATGGCGGTATTTTAGTTTATGTATTCTTTTTTTGAGCTGGGAACACTAGATCAAATTAGCTGATTTATTGTTGGTTTTTAAGATTCTTAATGATTTTGCATCATATTTGTGACACTGGAGCACAAAAGCAGTCTTAAGTCGCTGGGGTATATTTGTAGCAATAGCCAAGTTTACACATGTAAGGAGTAAATCAGCTATCAGAAAGGAACACACGAGCACAAAAAAAAACATAGCTTTAGTCAGTTATCATTTGTCTTTAAAAGAATCATGACTGGAATCGATTCTCAATAGAATTAAAACATATAAAAAGTCAGTGGTTTTTCTAAAATAAAAGAAAATAAATAAATAATTAAGTCAATTTCATTCATTCATTCATTTGATTTCATTTAAACTTCAACATGCCCTGGGACTACAGATAAAAATGAGCTGGCCTGGGTAAATCTGGCACATTTTACAATGATTTTATGTCTTATTAATGTGTATTACCCCTGACTAAAAAATAAATAAATGAAATTAATGAATGAATTGTCAAGGCACAGCTTCACTTTCTGACTGGTCTCTTCACAGTCAAATTTGTCTGTTGGAAAACCATTTAGAAAATCAAAAATCTGCTTATGAACTTGTGACCGGCAGATATTTGGACCAAAATTTAGAGGAGGTCAAGTGAAAGTTGTACGACGAGTTAAAAAAACAGTTTTCAATTAAATTGTTGGAGAGAAAAATTCTGTTTCCTTTCAAGGTCTAGAGGTGGAGAGAGTCTGCCTGCATGCTTCACAATGAATCACAACCGCACAGAGTTTAAAGAAACCATTTATTCGCCTTGGTCCTATCAAACTCAGTGTGAACGTGTTTGTGTTTGTGATTGCGCAGACGTACCTCTATGATGACATCAGGAGCGCTGATGATGCGAACGGGGTCGTCTTTGCTCTCTGTGTCATAAGAGAGCGAATACACCAGCCGGCCTCCGTATGCCAAGAGCTGCAGATGCAAACACACACAAACAGCAGCAAAGGTCAGCAACTGTGTCTGTTTTCAAGAAAAGGTCGAAAACAAGTTCAAAACGCAGTGATTATTGATGAAGCCCCACACACACACACACACACACACAATGTGAGTGCATTCTCAGTCTGTTATTGAGAAATGTTATGCTGCAGGGCAAATCGGTGCGGTTAAATCAGACCAGCACACTGGGGGAGGAACTCGAGCTCCACTGGGGAGAACAACACTTCACCGTGTGTTTTCTGCATCCAATACTGGCTTTTTATACACACACACACACGCCCACTCACGCATACATACTCCTACACGCTCCTACACTTCAAATCTCTCAAGACAGGCTTGGGTTTTACTGCAGCAGCCTGTGAGTTCGAGGTCAGAGCACATCTCTCCAACACACCAGACTCATACGGCATTCACATCCAAACCAAACATCAACACGTCTCGCTCGTCCCACTTTTATATGTTCTGACTGCTCATGTCTAAAGGAAAGAGAAAAGACATTTGTCTCCAGACCAACACGTGAAAAAACGATTGATTTTTCAGCACTGCGGCTGACCGGCAAGCCTGAAATGACATTTGGGCAAATCGCCCAAGAAATGTCTTATTTCACGCCAAAATTATGTTTGGTTTACACAAAATGAAGCCTTATTCAAAGACCATTAAGTTTGAGACATTATTTTCATGGCAATTAAGCAAATTTCCTCCAAATTACTTTAATGCAAGTAATTCACATATGTGACCCTGAACCACAAAACCAGTCATAAGGGTCAATTTTTTTAAATTGACATTTATACATCATCTGAATAAATAAGCTTTCCATTGATGTATGGTTTGTTAGGATAGGACAATATTTGGCCGAGATACAACTATTTGAAAATCTGGAATCTGAGGGTGCAAAAAAATCAAAATATTGAGAAAATCATCTTTAAAGTTGTTCAAATGAAGTTCTTAGCAATGCATATTACTCACCAAAAAATAAGTTTTGATATATTTACGATAAGAAATATACAAAATATCTTCATGGAACATGATCTTTACTTAATATCCTAATGATTTGTGGCATAAAAGAAAAATCTATAATTTTGACCCATACAATGTTTTTTTGGCTATTGCTACAAATATACCCCAGCGACTTAAGACTGCTTTTGTGCTCCAGGGTCACATATATACATGGGTTGGACAAAATAATGTGAACACCTAGGAAATATGAAAAGTTTAATTATTAAGGTGTTTCACCACATTGGCCTGTAATACAGCACCCAACCCTCTTAGAGTAAATTCATACACATTTTGAATGGTCTCCAGGTGAATGTTGTCTATCAGAACATCTACTAGTTGCTTCAGAGATGTTGAAGGAGGTGGTCTGATAATATTCAAGTCAAGTGACATGTCTGGCCAGGGCAGATGTTGAAGTTCATCTTGTGCTCTAATTGTCCGGGTTTTATGATCATAACACCATATTTTTCACATGTTAGTACTGGTGTCTGTTATTTAAAGTTTTAGCAGTTGCTGCTGCAGGCTTTGTTAAGTTCTCTGTGCTTGGTTTTTGTGGAAACAGGGTCTTCAAGGTGAAAATTGAGGTTTGCTGCCACTTTACAGCAGTAGTTCTGTGTTGTTTGGACACAATCCTTCTTAGTTATTCACTTTCTGTTTTCACCCACTATTCTACTACACTGATATAGTCTTGCCATGCTTTGTGTTCGCAGTCATAATCATAAATACTGTTGTTCTGAAAACACCAAACAACTGGGCCATTAAGGTTACAGATGTCTCTGCTTCCATGATTTGTCCCTTATAGAAGTCATTTATTTCACACATGGCTTCTACTAGACTGTTTTACGAACTAGACAATACAGACATTGAAAAAAAAAAGTAAATGATAATTGCAACCTTGTTTATTTATTTATTTTTTCACTGTAGCCTACACAAATGAAATTAGCCCTATAATAATGGATGTTCACACTATTTTTATTACTTTCAGCCTGAGCTCCAGTTTCGTGTTCAATGACATTTAGCTTATGTGTTCCTGTTTCCTTTGTTATAGTGATTAGTTTGCTAATTATCATCATCACTTGTGTCTAGTTTAGTTGCCAATTAGCTAATCACCCTTGTGTATTTTAACCTTCTTGAGTAAGGGTATGTTTACATGACAACGTTGCAAAAAAAAACAGAAAAGGTTTTCCTTTGCAGTTGTGAAAAGTTTCACATACAGATTACAACGTTGTCAAAGCGATCCCGTTCACATTTTTTGAGAACCGTGTTTATGTTGTCTACACAGAGACGATAACAATACAGTTTTCAAAATCTTACACTTTAAAACTCATTTTGAACGGCCAAAATGCATCAAAAGTTTTTTGTTTTTAGTTAAAAACGGTGTCCTGCAAACACTCCCTTAGTCTTCAGTTTTCGGTTACTCTCTATGCACAGTGCTGGGTAGATTACTTACAAATTGTAGTCTGTTACTGATTCCCAATTAGATGACAAAAATTTTAGTTAGTAACTTAAACTGTTACATTACACATTTTAGGTATATAATCTGACTGCCTTTTGATTACTGTTAGACTACTTTTGATCTAACTTGTTCATCACATTGACTTAAATAGGAAATATTGTAACATATTGATATAAAAATGCAGAGAGAAAGAAATATTTGTTGTTATTAATAACATGAAGTGCATTAAACATTACATTACATCAAGGTTTCCCAAACTATGTTTGTGAGATTAATGGTTTGAGAGTTTAATGAAAAGCTAATAATTAATTAAATCATAAAAATGTAAAATTAAAATAAATAATTTAAAATATAAAATATATGTTTTATTTGTTTACCTGCAAGTAATGTGACCATTAACCAACGTCAGAAAATACTTAATTATTAACTTAAAATCTTGGGGGTAGCTACTTCAAGTAAATATATTAAGTGAAAGAAAAAATCCCTGCTTAATGCCTGAATCCTTGCTTTACATGGAAATAAGAAATGTGAATTTGTGCATTTTAATGTGATTGAAAGACAAAAGCCTTCCAAAGACATGGTTAAATAACCAACTGAATTATAATTCAAATAAAAATTAATGTGTCCAGTAATTTATGCAATGTTGAAACACTTCATAAACATGAAATTATTTTTGTAAATCCAGTATTCAAAAAAAAAAGAAAGAAAAAAAAAGCTCTTCAGGGTTACAACTGCAGGTTACCACTTTTAATGTAATGCCATGGTGCAAACATCACACTCTAGCTGTGTCTCATTTCGAAGGCTGCCTCTGAAGGAAGCGTATACGGAGTGTCCTCAAACCCAGAATTAAACGAGTCGGCCTTCGTAGGACGGGCGGAAAAGGAAACAGGAAGTATCACGTTGCTATGCCAACACATTTATAGAGTCATTAATTTCATAAAACTAAATGTACAAATCAATTTATTATAAGATTATTGTCTCCGTTTCTACAGTTAACAACATGAAAGCGACCCCTAAATGTACAATACCAGAGGATTAAACAAATTAACAATTTCTCGCCTTGCTAGCAAAGTTAAAAATCACTCAACACTTGTAATCCTGTTTACCACATCTACCAACTGAGGTAATACAGTTTAAAAAAGAAGAACTAGAAAATAATTACATTTTACATTTAATACTTACATTTTTTTATATTTACATCTTCACTTGTGTGTAACGTTACATCAAAGTCCCTTTAAGGGTATTCTATAGTCTTTGTTTACATCTGCCGGCACCGCCATTTTTTTTTGTAATAATAATGTTTACAGTGACGCAAAGAATTGTGGGTTATCTGTAGCAGCGAAGGATACACCTCATGCATCCTCCGAATTCCTGTGAAAGAAGGTTGCATTCGGAGTGTCCTACTTGCTTTTCTAAAACGAGACAGCCTCGATGACGTATGCAGCCTTCGAATGCCACCTCCAGAGGGCGCAGGCTTCGAAATGAGACACAGCTTCTGTTACTGGATCACAGCTGAAGGGCAGGAACAAGCACTGCTTCCCGTTATCAGTCGAGCTCTTGTGATGTCATGGCAACCACTTCAGCTCAGTCAGTCCTGAGTGTTCAAGAATGAATCATGCTCGGGTCAATAGAGTCACCTCAAACCACCTGTTTATTAACCGACTTGTTTAATAATTTAATATGAACGTAATAACATGCACTTGCCATTATATGGTCTACAAAAGTACTATGGTGGTACCAGATGGCAATGCTACAGACTGTCCCATATACCATGGTATTTACATTATACTCAATGTTATTTCAAAGAATACTAAGAAAGAAAACAAGGTACTGCCAACGAAACAATGGCATTGCCACGGAACCATTTTATTATTTGTTAGTGAGAGTTTAGATTGCAAAGAAACCACAAATCAAAACCCAAATACTAAGACTGAGCATGAACACATGCAGACTAAATGGGAAAAATGAAGGGAGAGAGCGAAAATTAGAGCATCAACTCTGGCACATCTTACAGGAAATGAGAAACAGACCGTCCGCTGGGCGCCTTCAAACTAAAAACTGGGCGCCGTCAAGCAACTCCAGAACATTCCTCTGCTGTAACCCCTCTCTCCATGAAATTAGCCCCGCTGACCTCTGCTCCTCCCGCCGCGTCTCACCCCGTTCACTTTAAAGTCAAGCAGGGAGCAGTATGGGTCTGATATGGACCAGAGCCCACCTACAGAGACACAAACACACAGACGAAGCTCCACAAACAAAGTGCGGTTTGTTTGTGTTGTGCTTGTGACAACCAGTTCAAAAGGCAATGCACATCTGGACAGATGCAATCAGAGGAGCAGCACATAAACACACACAGGCACATCATACCATGTGTGAACACCAGTGACCGCTAAAACTCGAGGCAAATATGTTGAGACCAGACGGGCGGAAATGCTTTCTGTACAAATTCTGTAAGCACCATAAAACCAGTGAGGAGAAGATTTCTAACATGTTTGTAAGATGTTTGCGTCTCTGATTGTAGTGACATCAG